TCTGACAGGAATTTTATGTCAGTTTAATATAACTTTTTTGTTGTTTGAGCATTTAATTCCAGGTCATAGGAACATAAAAACATTGTGTACACATTTTCCCACTATTTTGTTTTTTCATTTCAATGAACAATAAAGATATATTGTAGCTGGTGTCATTTTCCTGAGGCCTAGAATAAGGTGATGAACTTTGAACCAGGTAGTGCTCATTGTTTCATCTCAACACATTTTTTGGGTTAAGTGCTTAAAGCCACAGTGTGTAGGAATTTCTCCCATCTAACGTTGAAATCGTATATTGCAATCAAACGGATAGCGCACTGTAGCGCCTCACTGTTTCAAACACGTATTGCAACAACGGTAGCCGCTGTGTACCAAAAAGCTATGATAACACTGATGAAACCATGTCATCCGATACTACAGGGAGCATTCATTCAGGCTCCTACACAGACACACGTGGCGCGAGTTGACAAACCCCCTCCTCACCATGCTGGCTGTGTTTACAATGTAGGACTGATGGGACGGGTGTAAATCGAAACAAACCAATCAAGTCTTGTCTTTTGACAACTGACAAGTGGTTCAACCTCACACACCTCATCCCGCCTGTGATTGCATTACCTTTCTCCCTCAGCAGCTCTTTCCAGCTGGGGAAGGCTACCCCGATATTGACCCTCGTTTTTTTAGTTTGCCGGTCACCTTACCTTTTTGATTCCTTTTTGCACTTTCTTGGCGACAAGGATTCCGTCTCCCGTGATGCTGCATATGCATGATCCTGCATTATGCTCAAAGAGTGGGACTTTGCAAAGCGCCTCTTGCTCCTCTCCTTCAGCCTCTCAGTCAGGCAGCGCTGGCCTGGCTCTCAACGAAAACGCAGAAGGCTCGGCTGTTGTCCCTTGCTGGCGGGTGTATTCTCAAGATGGCGGAACGTTATGGAACCCCCCAGAGGACTTACCCGCACAATGTACAAACAAATCTGAAATTCTCCTTTTACTAGAATAAGTCAGATTATTGGTGGAGGTGATAAAACACCAGTGATGACATACGCATGAATACAGACATCAATTTTTGCCAATAAACAGCTGAAAATGTTACACAATGTCCCTTTAAGTATATCCACAGAAGACATCATTAACTGTGCATATGACTTAGCTGATGATGCAAAATGTCTTTTACCACAACAGTAACTGTAACCAATTAGAACAATTATGAAATACATAGAAATGAATCACTGCATAATGGATAGCGTTAGTGATTTATAGGGTTTTTTTAATAGCTTATGACCCTAAACACATTGTCTCACAACAGCTCAAAACTTGCTGACTTTGCATATGAAAAATGTCAAGTTCACAAGGAATGCCTTTACTCAAAATAATTAGTCCACATTACTTAATACATTAAGTATTACATAGTATTAAAAAGAAAATGTGTTTTCTACTTAAATTATAGTATTTTGAATTGAGATTACTGTATTAAATTTTCTGTTTCAACAAAATGTTATGGAAGGGAAGAAATTCAACAGAACATGATAAAATACCCCATAGGATGCCCATCCAGTGGTAACATGAAAATGTGTCCTCTTGACAGGCTAAATTTGCCATTAAGTGATTTGTTTGGTGAATATAAAGAGGAGATTCTTCAGTTACACATTGAAGTATTAGGACTTCTTAAATTCCCGTAATATCCTGTGAATCGGGGGGGGGGTGTTTCTGCCTGCCAATTAGAAGCACTTTTGTACTGTAATGCAAAATGACATATGATGAAGCTGGACCACATATGTCCCTTTTTTCAATCGCTCATCTCATGCGCATTCAAGAAAAGTGGAGAGCTAAAGCGCACCAAAGAGGACTGTAACGCGCTGCAGCAGGCAGTCTGTAAGCAGGGGGTTGCTTGTTTCTAAATTTGCTCAACATCGGACAATAATGACTCAAAGGCACTCTGCGCTGGGCAGAGCATCACGGGCGGACAAGCTGCTCTGCGTGTGCAGGTTCAGGTGCACCGCGTCTGTCACGTAGCGACGCTCACGACAGCAGCTGTCAGCTCTCCAAAGGACCATTCATCTGTAAGTGTCATGCTCATGTTTTGTCTTTGTTTTCAGCCTAAGCAAACTGTTTTACGCAGAAGGTGTCCCCAAAAAGAAAGGGATTTATCCAATGCGCATTAAAGGGAAATGTTACATCAGTAGTCTGTTGAAAAAAAGTAAGATTAATAAACTTAATTAACAATATTATTAACAATTTTTTTAATCTGTGCTTTACTTTTGAATCTATTTCTCACTGAAATTATTGTGAGTAAATTAGCAGTTTATTCTTATTCTTACACTTAATACAAATATATAAAAGGTCATTACAGTCTACTTTTGTGCTTAGTTTAAGGGATGCAATGCCGGCAGTATTTCCAATGCAACTGTTTTGAAGTGCGTGCACTATCACTTAAAAGCATGTGTATGAGGTTTAGTTCATGCACAATGTGTTTGTAACTGCTGCGAGTTAAGCTTGTTAGGGATTTTCGTGTGGCGTTCAGCTGATGTGGCTGCTACAGGTGTCCTGCCATATTCTTGTCATGTTGTTTGCTTTGTTGTCTTTTCATGACTCAGTACAGTCAGTGCATTGTATATTCTCCTGCCAGGCTATAGCACAAAAATAACTGGTAAATTTGAGATGTAATTTACCCAAAAAAATGCATGTGGTCACAAATTTAGAAGCAAATAGACCTGTAACTACTGGTGGATCTTCCTATAGCTGCATTTTGCGCTTAGTGTATTTCTTATAGTTTTTTGTTGTTATTGTTGCTGTTTGATGGCTAAGTTGTTCATTTATGTTGATTTCTCGCTAGCTGTGGTGCTGTTTCAGTGAGCCCGGGTTTGAGGATTCTCACCAGACTCCTCTATCTTCACGCCGTTCACAGCTTGTTGAGGCACTGACACTGGGGTTTTTGGACAACCCTGAAGAGTTGTGGTCAACCTGGTCTGCAGTGGGGTTTAGTAGGGAAAAGTCTTTACATTTTATGTTTGAAAGTCCTGTTTGCAAAGGAGTGTGGGAAAGGAGGTTGTGTAAAGCCCTGGTTTTATGAAACCAAGGTCTCACTGTGGTCTCATTCTATGAGCTGCTACAGGCAATGACTGTCAATAGCCACCTACCAGGAGAGAGAAATCAAATCAGTGTTTTGGCAGTCTGCTGATACACAATGGTGGGCTGCGCTGAGCCTCAGGTGGGACCCCCACAGATGACGGGAACACAGGGTCCTCTGAGCTCACTTTGCCAATAAATGCAGTTCCGCATGCAGGGCCACAGGCCACGCTGCTAACTTCAAATACTTGTCAAAGCAATATCATATTTTCTGACAAATGGGACATCATGAAAAAACATTTCATCCAAGTCCTATGGGTAATTTACACGGCCTGCTGGTCAAGGATTTTGATTAACAGAAAAATGAAACAAAAGCAGGATACAGCCAAGTGGGACTGTGAAAATCTCCTCCTCTGCCAGAATTTAAAAGGCAGTTATAACTGATATGTTTTTTGAGATTTATGTGCCTGTGTTTTCACATTTGAAACTGCTTTACCTCAGCTGGTCTCACACAGAGTAATGCACCGTACCATTATCTGCCACCACCAGACAGCTGCTGTGAGAGGGATTAACACACACAAGGATATGTCGTAGGAAAGAACCGACTGAATCACTGTGGCAACAAATATGTCATGTCTCTAATCGAATGTCTACCCTCTCCCAATTACTTACTCCAGAATCGCACATTATTCATGACTTAAGGGTGCACTCGGTTAAAAGGAACAGGCAGGACCCTCATTAGCCCGTCCATTTTTCACAACAGACACCAGAGTCATTACATTTGACTAACTACATCCTGTTCTGTCCATCCAAGCCAGACAGCCTGTGATGCAGGTCTGACAGCAGTGATGGTGGTATAATAGTATGAATTTTAGAATCATTAAAGATATTCTGATGGCATAATGTTGTGTCTGTAGATAGACTGTCCTGATGTGTTCCAGTGATAGCTAAGTCCCACGTCCATATTACTAATGAGGGTCTGAGTGTGTGTTCATTCATGACCAAAACTGCCCTTTAATTGTTTGAGGAGGAGACTGTGTCATTGTCTGTTTCATTACATCAATTAGTAACAAACACAAGGTTTCTGAATTTGCATATTTAGTTTTGTGGATACGGTATTTTGCCAGTGTCATGATTAAAATTCCACTCCACTCGAAGATGTGACTTGCTTGGGTATTTGAGCTTCACTGAGCAGATGATGTCGGGGCAGAGTTTGACACTAGAAGGCTGTTTTGACATGCACCTGCTGCAGGAGGAAAGTATGTTTTTGCTCACGTGACCTGGAATCTCAGTTTAAATGACTCACTGACATCTCAACTAGTTAGGAAGTCAGTCAGGGTCCAATGATGTGGAAAGTTGGAACCTTAAACTAATGACTGTCGTGGCTGGACCAGTTTGGAACCACTGGATTAGGGACCCCCCCCCCTCCCCCGGAGTCTAGATGCTAGTGGTAATGGTGGTGATGAGATGAGACAAGACGAGACGACGACGAGATGAGGAGGCAGCTGATGATGGTTTTGACTGAGATTTAAAAAATAATCTTTTGAAAAATGTTAGGCTTTTTGTTTGTCAAGGTCAATACCAAAAATGCACTTAACTCTCAGATACCAATTATAAAAAGTACACTGTGTGTTGATAAATTGCACTGTATGTACAGTATGTGCCACTTTGAACCCTTTTACAAGCAAGTGATGGACAGGACATAATGGCATAATGGCTTTGAACTGCCTGCTGTTTCTCAAGCTGCCAAGGGTTATTTTTTGGGGGGGAAAAAGTTCAATGTCAATCATTTTATGATTAATATTTGATAACCTAGGGCGATTTTTAAAGTAACACAACTGCAGAACATTTCTTCTTCAAAGTGGGCTTCATAAAATGTTGCACATAAAAGGCAAGGAAAGTTTTTCTTAAGTATTTTTTTAAATGTCCTTACAGTGTGAAATGGCCAGTGGGAAAGTCTTAGAGGAGACTTATCTGAAATGGGTCCAATACAAAGAAGACTGTGTCAAAATGATAGAGAGAGAACCGCTCCCTCAAGGTACGGAGAACTTTTATTCATTTAGTACTGAGTCATCATTCAAAAGGAAATATGACAAGAAGTGGAAAGGTTAGGGACAGAGTACAAGGAAAATATCAAATTATGTTTTTTTTTACTTGCACCAAAAATGATCATCTCTGTTTTTTTTTTGTTGAGGGACAAATATCTTCTCTTTTCTGAAAGTTTCTTATTGTTTGTATTTCTAGCAGGCTTGTTCTGTAACCGGACATTTGACAGATATGCCTGCTGGCCAGATACTCCTGCCGGCTCTGTGGTCAACATCTCATGTCCTTTCTACCTGCCCTGGTATGACAAAGGTAAATCACATTTTCAGTGAGTCTAACTTCGACAAAACCAACTGAAATATAAATGTATTCCTATCAGCTTCCATTTGACTGTGGTGAGTCAGTTATAAACTCATCTGTGCAGATAAAAGATCACAATGGATGCTGGTAAAGTGGAAATTTGCTAACAATATTCAAGTTCTTCAGAAGGTAACATTTATATCCCCATGACTGAAGCTATGGCTGTATTCAGAAATACTCATTCAGTGTAGAGGTGCACTCTGGCACAAACTGAACCATCTGCTGAAATGTAACGTTGGAGCGTAGGAGCAGCAGAGTACCAATGGAAGCAAATGTGTGATGCGCGTAATGGTTCGTTAACTCATATAGAAATAGAATGCTTAGAATACTTGTTTCTTTGAACAACAGCTCTCTCATTTTAGTGTAGAACGTCAGATTACATTTTCGGACGCACCCTAAGAATGAGAGTAGACTTGCTTAAAGGGAAGTGTCTCTTTATTCCCTGGGTCCTGTGTTCATCAATTCAGTATCCTCCTAATATGACTCCTTAAGGAGACCTTTAAAAGGGTGTTATGCTCTCAGCATTTTTTTCCCTCAGTCAAATATCAAGTGTATGTTACCCTGGGGGAATATGTTGAAATCATGCACCTATGGCTTATAGCTTATTGACGTTACAGGCCCGTTCATATCCCTTTATTTACAATATCAACTGTGAAGCTAACCCTTACCAATCTCTTCTAATGTTAATTTAGAGACATAGGACCAGTGGTGTATAGTGGAGGGTATATGCAGGTATACAGGGTATACCCACCTCTGTTCCTGGCTGTTTACAGTATACCCACCTATCCGCCAACAAAACATTGGTATACAATATAGGACAGTATACCCGCTTCCTCCTCAGCAACCTACCCATTAACCACGTAGTAAACCCACCTCATAAACTACCACTACACCACTACACCCTGGGAACATAAGGATGACCCTGAAGCAAACAGTATGCAGGGGTAGACACCACACGACATGATACAACATAACATACAAACATCTTTGCAAATATGCTCATTCACTTTCTTACTGAGAGTTAGTTAGTGACAAGATTGATGCCACGTTTATGTCTGTCCATTTAGTAGGAGGCTACAACCAGATCACAGTTAGCTTAGCTTAGCACTATGCCTGGAAACGGGCAGAGCTACTGGCCTGTCTCTCTTCGAAGGTAACAAAATGAACCTACCAGCACCTCAAAAGCTCACTATTTAACATGTTATATCTTGTTTGTTTAGAAGTTCAAACAATTAGTGTAAAAACAACATGCTAGCTAGCTGTTTTCCTTTGTTTACAGTCTTTGTGCTAAGCTAAGCTATACAGCTAGTGGTTCTAGTTTTATATTTAGCTATTGTACAGACATGAGAGTATTAATCTCATTTAATATTAAAAAAAGTAAAGCAGAAAGTTTGACTTAAAAAAGTCAAACTATACGTACCTTTGAAGCACTTTAGAGTATTTTTTTTAATAATATTTATGGATTTGGTTTGATTGTTTAGTGTGTGTATGTGTTTATTGTGAGTATGCACTTTGTGTTTCTGTTCCCTTTGTATGCTGGATTGATAACCTGTCAAGTCTGTTTACCTGTCTTGTGCCCAGTGTATACTGCGATTGGCTTCAGCCCCCTATGGCCCTTATTAGGAGTGAGCAGGTAATGACTGGAGAACTGACTGTTTCTCCTCCAGTGTCCCAGGGTGTCGTGCGTCGACTGTGTGGCACTGATGGCCTCTGGGTGAGAGACGACATTGGAGAGGTGTGGAGAGACATGACCGAGTGTGAGGAAGAGAAAGAGGTCACGTCTCAGGAGGTATGACATTTGCTGCAGCCATAGGGACATCTTGTTGCTTAAACATTTGTATTTCAGTATGTGTATTCTCCATTGAGGAAGATTTGTTTAACTGTCACTGCGCTGCTTAGGCCGGGGTTGTTTCCTGTCAGACCCAGATCAACATATAAACATCTAAAGGAAAAGAACAAAGTCTGAAGTAACTGACTCATATAAGATTGAATCCCAATTAGCAGCACTTGTCACCCCCAGACTGCAGGTGTAATAAAAAGATGACATATATGATAAGCACTAATTAACCGTAAGGGATATGATGGAGACATGTGGTGTATAAGGAGCTAAGTCAAACTAACATGACTCACCTTTGCAATAATGACTGGGATCATTGGCAGCTACTACTCTGCAACTTTATTTATAATAATATAGAAACCGAAGAAACAGAAAGCCTTTATTGTCATTGTATGAGTACAACGGAATTAGGAGTGCTACTCCTGGTCAGTGCAATTAATGAAAGTGACAAGACAAATTAAGACAGACAACAATCACCCATTCAATTAATATGAAACTAAACTAAATACTATAAAAGGATGGGTATGCATAAAAGGATGGATTTTTTACTTAAAAAATGAATATTGCTCTTAAATGTTGAGAGTTAAAGGGTAAAGTGCTCAGCAGATGACGGTAATTCTCTATGGTATGTGTTGGAGTTAAACGTTCTGATGGCCCAGGGAGAGAAACTGTTCCTGAGCCTGTTTGTCTTGCTTTTAATGTACCTGAAGTGCCTCCCAGAGGGTAGCAGGTTGAATAGGTGGTGATTAGGGTGAGAATGGTCTTTATTAACACGAGCAATAAGCACTGAATCAGAGAGCCAAGATCCACTTCTTGTGTTTCCAGCTTATTTCCGCAACCTTCAAGTGACTAAAAAATACCCTACATAAAATACCCTAAATGCCCTACATACCCAGAATCCACAAACGCAGGTGTTTTCATTGAGTGTATGCTGCCTAATTAGTCTTCCTCTCAGGACAATGGGGGCATGTAAAGGCTAGATTCTTCTCAAAGTTGAGGATGTTTCCTTGGTTGGATGGATGCTTCAAAGTCAGGTCCTACAGAGGCAAGACTCCCCTTCCGAGCATCCAGACAACACATAATGGATCATTCAAGTGAGTGTGCAGGTGTGTCATTGAAAAGGTCCTGCCTTCAATTCCACATAATTTCAAAAAGAGTGGAGGAAATGGATGCAGTATTGCCAAAGAGGAGATTTATGGATGTAGTGAAAGAGAACTTGAAGTCAGTTGGTGTGACAGAAGAGAATGAAGAGGACCGGGTTATATGGAGGCAGATGTGCTCCTCCTGCAGATGTGCTCCTCCTCCTGTGGCCACCCCTAAAGGGAACAGCAGAAAGAAGAAGAAGATTGCCAACTGTTGCAATGCTGTTGCGTTCCTCTCATTCTTTGCCTTTTAAAAGACAACCTTGGCAAAGAACTGACAATGCATCAGTGCCCTTGCCTTACGAAAGTCAGAACAAACTTTTGAATTATGCTTTGTAAATAATATGACGAGACGAGTATGGACGAGTATGAAATAATATGACTGAAGATTCACTAACTGGACTGCCCATTTTCAACTCCAGTTTTTCTCAAAAAAACATTTGGTGGGCTTTGAGAAATTTTACTAGCGTATTTTCCTTGTATTCAAATCGGGGTACAGGACCAATGCCTGTAGGATTGTGGGTGCTGTAAGAGTGCTTAGGATACACACAAGCGTCCTTAAAAATTCTCTGAACGAAGCACTCAGTCCTCGATCCTAGACACTGAAGCAGTCCTTCGGCGGGATTTGATGTTTGGTGACGTAGCATCCTTGAAATGCAGCCATTTAAGGATCCTTCCTTGACTTTGAGAAGCACCTAGTGTGTTTGACTTACATTTCTCTGACTCTTCTAATAATTTGTCACACCTGTTTGGGTGGGAAAAGTTGCAGCTTTATCATTCTTATTGGCTTGCAAACTTTGGTGACCTCATGTAATGTCACTAGAAAGATCCAGCTGCTTGTGCACTGAGCAAGCCTACAAATTCTCTATACCGCAGGACAAAATGCCATCCCTTTGGCCTTATCAGCATATGGCATCAGAAAATTACGAGGCATTCAAGGCTTCATGCCTGCAAGATTGTGAGTGCGTTAACAGAGAAGAGGTCTGGTGGGTTTATCAGCTCTCACTGCTTTCTCTCTTTCCTACCACAGTCATGTCTTTCATTCAAGCATTAAACTCACATCCCTGAAGCGATGTGGAAAATACAAAATGGGTCTCTGACAGATATTACCAATCACTGCAGTTGTAGCATGAATTTTACCTCAGACAACACAGTTTGAATTATCTTGATATCACAAACTACAGAGATAGTTATTTGCACATGCGCTCTTGATGTTTTAGCTCTTGTCCTGTCTTCAGAGTCTTTTGTTTGAGGTCACATTAGTAAAGCAATGTATGGGGTCTGCACTCCCAAAAAGTGACTGGCGTGATTTGTTTTCACAGCTGTGGTTCAAAGAACTGATGGTGAGCTTCAGGATGTTGTACACTGTCGGCCATTCCTTGTCCCTCTTCACACTCGTGACTGCTCTTATCATTCTTCTGAGCTTTAGGTAAGCTGTCCAATAGATTCGTCAAACATATCTCATCAATCTGACCAAACAGTAATTAAGACCACTAACAGTCTGCCTTACTTCCTCCTCAGTCCTTCCTCTGTTACCAATGCTGTAATAAAGGCTTTAAAATGCAAACAGACAATCAGAAAAAAGGCAGCAACGTAGCAAACAATTATCAAGATCTTCTACATACATAACAATCAATTACTCATGCAGGTACAGGGGGCTGTTTAATGTAATATATGTTTAATTAACTGTACCTTCAGTGTGCACAGTAATGAAACAGAACAAGTAAAGCAATTAGATGGTGCTCAAACAATGGGTTGCATCTAAAAAACAACTTAAGGACAAAACAGATGCAAACTATGTGCTTTTGCAGGTCTGATAAAACACACACAAGAACAAAGACACTAGATAAAATACATACGTGAAGCTCTGATGCACAAAATTCAAATTAAGGGGAATTTCTTTATGTCCTCTGACAGGAAACTACATTGCACCAGGAACTACATTCATGCTAACCTCTTCCTGTCCTTCATACTGCGAGCTGTATCTGTCATTATCAAAGACACCATGCTGGACCGCCACTGGGGACGAGAAATCATGAAACAGACCGATGTGAGTGAGATGCTCAGTCACCAGGTGGGTCTTGAAAACTACCACTGATTGTTTATTATTATTTGTTGTAGTAAAAATTAGCTTTATGTAATGTACATTTTTTATGTCCATGTCCTCTAGGCTGCTATTGGCTGCAGGGTAGCACAGGTAATGATGCAGTACTGTGTCCTGGCCAATCACTACTGGTTCTTTGGAGAGGCAATTTATTTGTACTCTGTGCTTATTGCCTCAGTGTTCATCGACAACAACAAATACTTACCTTACATCTGTCTTGGCTGGGGTAAGTTCCATCTCTTTGTGTCCAAATTAACATGCATCAAAAGGTTCGTCTGGGACTCATGACCCAGACGAGCATGCCCAGTATCAGCTTTTATAGAAGAATGTCATGGATAGATTTACAAAGCATCCACCTGTGATTTAGTTCTCAAAGGGACAGGGACTTAGTGTTGGAGATATCAGCTGTAGAGATGTCTGGGATAAAATAAAACTAGATGGCACTCGGCTTGTGGTGCTCATAGTGCCAAAAAATACCTTTGAAAAACTCAACGGCAATGTCATTTTCCAGAAATCATGACCGTGAGCAGCTTCATGTAGGAATTATTTTCTTTCTACTGCCCCCGCCTACCATATCATCGCACAGAGGGAAGCTTGCATCTACTGCTAGCTAATCTAACACCACTGAGCTCAGCTGTGAAGGATGCCATCGATGTTTACTTCTTGCACTGTCACGAGCATGAGCCTCTTATTCATGAGTAACATGGATGTGTAAAGAGAACTGGATACAGCTTTGGACGAGGGGCCTCATCAATTCCTATGATGCTTGCTCAGTTGCTTGTGAAGCTGAAAACGTTTAACTGTAACTCACTCGGATGATCGGAGCTGTATCAGCATCATTGTGCCCATAGATCAGGTGTACTAGAAACTTCCACCAGCCAAGTTGGCTACTTCTGGTTTAGCACACCACTAACTTGAATGGGGATAAAATAAGTTAATCGTGGGGTTCTTCTAGACTTTCCAAATGTTATCAGACCGAATGGATCAAATCCTGAGATTGAAACAAGTCATTTTGTGGGAGTTTTGATGCTCAAAACAATGTGTCCACTAATTTACAGATGTCTCTGTTGACATGTAAATCAATGGAAAAAGGTCTTTTTGGGCCACATGACATCATGGGATGGTGTAATTACACTGTTTGCCCACTACAACAATTGGCCTCAAAGCCCAGCGCACTTCCTGAGGGCCTGATGAGTAGGTGCATGCCTCCATCTGTGCAGTGATATGGTTGACAGGTATAGTTTGGTAGAGAGAAAATAGTTCCAACACTGCGCACAACAAGGTCTGTGGATTATCTTGAATAGCTAGGTCGTGATTTCTGGAAAGAGGCATTGCTGTTTTTCAAAAGTATAATTTGTGCACTTTGAGCACCACAAGCCGAGTGCCATCTAGCTCCATTATATTTCAAAGAAGGCAGACATCTCTTTTGCTGATATCTCCAGCACTCAGCAACCCACACCAAAACAGTCTAGACTTATAAATAGCACTGCAGGAAAAAGGAAAAATGTAATTTTTTGATTCTGGGCTGAACTGTCCCTTTAAACTTGCTTTAAAAGCACCTGCAGCACTGAATCCTGCAGTCTTTTCTGTCACTGTCTTAGGATCTCCACTTCTATTTGTGGTTCCCTGGGTAGTGATGAAGCAATTGAAAGAAAACAAAGAGTAAGTGTGTGAGCAGGTGTGTGTCGTGTCCCCATGTGCCTGATCCCTTCGTGTCTAGACCTCTGACCCCCCGCTGATCCAGATTAGATAGTGGAGAAATTGTAACAGCTGCCTTTTCTTCTCAGGTGTTGGGCTGTCAATGAGAACATGAACTACTGGTGGATCATTCGTTTCCCAATTCTTTTTGCTTCAATAGTAAGGATGACTTATGCAAATAGTCTACTCAGTGCATGAAAAATAATCTGACAATTTAAGCTCCTCTGTGTAATATATTGTATCATATATGTTGTTTGCATTGGATACAACAATTAAAATACAGATTTTCTTTGATCAACAGATCAACTTTCTGATATTCATGAAGGTGCTGAGGGTCATTTTTTCCAAATTACGAGCCAGCAACCAGACAGGAGACCCTGATTACAAACTTCGGCAAGTTGTGTCAGCGTACTCTTTTGTCTATTTTATTTTTTCAAACCAAGGCAACAACTCTGCTATCACAAAATGTCAGAAACAGTGTGTATGGTGTTGTGACAAATTGCTCTGTCCGATTTGTTCTGTTAGGCTTGCCAAGGCAACCCTTACCCTCATCCCTCTGTTTGGGGTTCACGAGGTCATATTCATCTTTGCAACAGATGAGCAGACAACAGGTGTTCTGCGCTACGTTAAAGTCTTCTTCACCCTTTTTCTCAATTCGTTTCAGGTAGGTTCAGGTGGGCCAGAGAGTGACTGTTTGCTATTGATGATATTATAAAAACAATTATCTGATGTGTTACTTTATAGCAAATACAGTAAACAGGACTTTTCTGTGACCTCTCTGCAGGGCTTTCTGGTGGCTGTGCTCTACTGCTATGCCAATAAAGAGGTTTGTTTGATCTCATGTTCTCATTTCATTTTTCTTAACTTACATAGAAGGTACTGATTAGTCATATGTTACAGTGACAGTGTCAGAGAGACAACATACATGAATCTACATGGGTGTATCAGTATAAAATTTAACTTGAATCATATTCAAGCATTGTTAATCCTGATAATGGGAGGATTGGGCCTGTCATGATTATTACTTTATTGACTTATCAAGTTTATTTAAAATGTTGAAGGTGTTCATATATTATACAAAATTGCACTTGTGTCTACATGCCTTTGCATCGTTATGCTACTATACAAGCATCATATCAGTGGCATTAAATGGTCTTAATGACATAAAATGACAATAATATTGTTTATCACATTTATTTTTGGGACAATATGTCCTCCAATAAAATAGTTATCGTGAAAGGCCAAGGGAGGATCTGTGTTTATCTTCCTCAGATGGGGACACAGGGCTGGACGAATCATCTGATCATCTATTCTTGTCCAAGAGCCTTACCTTCCAAATTTAAATCCAGTTTTCCTTCAAGCTTCAAACTGGAAGATGTCACAAAGTTGGTAGCCTACACAAAATGGCACATTAACTCTGACATTACTCCACTCTGCTCTGGGTGCAGGTTAGGACCGAGCTGAAGAGAAAATTACGCAGCTGGAGGATAGAGGCCCAGATTGTATGCTGTGGACAGTGACTAACCGTCCTTGACTCCCGAGTAGACACTTTCTCCATCGCCACGGCGCCAGAGCGCAACAGATCCTCTGCCACAACAATGAGAGCAGTGCCTGATGGTTCACCCACTCCGGAGAGTTCAACGACTTTTAGACGGCAAGTTCAGTCAACGTCCCCACAGCCTGACGCGTCTTTGCTGCACTGTCCATCAGTGGTACACAGAGACGACACCCTGCAGCATGGGGCTCAGCATGACGCTGGACAATCGTCTGTGGCGATGTCCTTCGTCATTCACCTACCAGATCCTGTGGAGTTACTCCCACATGTTGTAAATATAGACTCAGATTGAATACATTTTTGCATTCACTGTACATTTTAAGATTATTTGCGGTTTGCTGTAGATATGTAAAACTGTACATAAGTAACTGTTATTATGGAAACTGTAAATCTGTTGTGAATATATGGATAAGTATTTGTGATCATTTAAAACTTGACACACCTTAAATACAAATGGAGTAAAAAAATTAAAATGATATTTGTTCAAACTGGCTTTTTTAATGTGATGACGGAAGCTGAGTATTTGTACTGCAGGATGGGTAGTTCATTGTAAGAAAGTAGACTGTGGAATGATCACCTATATTACTTGATATGACTGGTGGGTGGAATAAACAAAGGCAAATAAATAAAAGCAGTACTATACTCAACAGAAACTTGCAACTAAACAAAAAAGGTTGTAAATTCCAAATTGTTAAATTAATCCACACTAGTGTTATATGTAGTGTCTTCTTATCAACATATACAGGGTGATAATGTATGGAGTTTTGGCTGTCGTACTCCAAAATGCCAGTTTTTATTCTGTATTACTGTTTGCTCTGTGAACTTCATTACCCAGAAGCACCAGGGAAAGCAACGCGCCAACGTCATGAGCGTCGTGCATGTCGTTGGCAACGGCGGAGGCTGGAGCGGGAAGGATACAACCGCTGCCGTAAATGTTTGGTGTCAAATCAAAACCGTTGTTTACGCGGTACGTGGAAGAACTGGAAGAGCCCTCGCACCTTATAATGATGTGAAACTAAGTGTTTTATTGTTTTAGTTTGTGGGAAACGGACAAGGGACATTTCCGGTCACTTTAAGCTGTGTGTTTGCTAGCTAAATGTACACTAGCTGCTCGAGTTTTGGTTTTGACAAGTTGTAGCAAGACTGAGACACCAACAGGTGGATTTCCCATTGGCGATATTCACTATCAATGGCCTCCAAAGGTAAAATTAACTTCAAAGTTTTTAATTAAAGTCGCTAGGTATGAATACATCAAGTTATGCAGCAATGACTGCGTGACATGGAAACTGTATGTTATAACTGACTGTCATTGAACCCTGTTTTGACTTAGCAGGTTGGCAGCATCCTTACGTCAACATATTCAGACATGTCCGAGTTGAGGACTGGAAGAGGTCGACAAAAGAGGGGGATGTGTCAACATACATGGTAACTTTGCTGCACACTGTAGTAGTGATATTGAACGTTATACTTGACCCCCGAATCATCTATTGAATATCAAACAGTAGGCTTGAATGGTGGCTGTAAAACGTTGTGAGTTTGTCCTAAGTATTGTCATTTACAAAGGATTTCAATAACCAGTTTTCATATTGCAAAGCCTCCATGACTTGACTATTGTAGCAGCATACTGTACAGCAAATCCACCAACACCCTCAACAAAGTACAGTACATCCAAAACTCAGCTGCTGCTCACCCATTCATACCCCAGAGATCACATCACCTGACTACTTCAAAACTTCCACTTGCTCCCCATTCAACAAAGAATCCAGTTCAAAATTCTCCCTATCACCTACAAAATCCCACACAGCCTGGCCCCTTACTACCTCAGTGACCTCCTGTGTAGACGTACACCTACCTGCAGCCTCAACGTCCTCACCCATCTGCCACCCAGTCCAGGACAGGGCCTTCTATAGTGCTGACCTCTCCCTCTGTAACTCTCGCCCCTAACACCTCAGACATTCTTCTTCGCTCTTCTCTTTTAAAAAAGCTCCCAAAACCCATCTGTCTCAACCAGCTTTTATATGTGATCTATTAGTCCCACCCCCTTACTTTTCATTCATGTAGTTACCATATAAAAGTCCTTTTGAGTGCCCTTTAAAGTGCCACACAATTATTACAATTATTACACTAAAAGCTTTTGAATACAATCCTGTAGCACACAAGATGACTGATTTTGTGTGGAGCCTCTCTTTTACCAACAAGTATTCAGACCGAAGTTGGTTTATTTTATGTCTACCTTCCCTGAAATCCTCCAGGACAAGAGACTGAAGTGTTCAGTGTTCAGGATCAGGGGTCCTATTCCTGCCAACAGCTACATCCTGATACCCAAACACAGCAGCCAGTCTCTGGGGCTGACCGGTCGCTACTTCTACCTTCTCTTCCGGCCCAGCCCTGACAAATACTTTGTGGTCCACCTGGATGTTTCTGTGGAGGTATCTGACTTGATTTTATTCAGTGATCCTGAGCATGTGTATGAGTGATGATATGAAGTGTATTGTTCAGGTGACTCATTCATAAAATGCTTTTTTGCTTTCTTTATGATTGACATTTCAGAGTGTGCTTTTTTTTACCTTATGTCACTGTGTTTTAGTTGGTACTTGATCTATTACACAATGTAAAACTATACGCTTTCTCACACAGAATATTAGTTTCCCTTTATATTGATCAGTAATGGAGCTATGTGGTATCCCAGGTAACATGCTCATTGGACTACTTTCTAGATCAGTGGCTAGAATTTTATTAAATTCCTGCCTTATAATATCCCAAAACATTTGTATTTTCCTGCAAGACCGCAGGTAGTGGGTGAAACTACCCATCTGTATTTTGCGCTTGAGGCATAGAGGAGAACAAAGCATGCCTTTTTAATGTGTTGACCTTTCAATCTCATTAAATTTAGAAGTGGGAGCAAGCACTCTTCATGTTCTCACATTAGATACCATCTAATTGTGTGAAACATGTTCAACTTCCTCTTCTCGGGTTTCTTTGTTCTTATTTGAATCCAATTTTTTTTAGTCAGATTCAGCATATCATACTGTATCGTGTGATCATCTCAGACAGTGAGAGATATATGTACTGTAGATGTTGGCATTTTAGAACTGTCCGAATTAAAAGGCCAGCTACTTGCTTAGTTTTGAAGATCTCATTGATTAAAATTGATTCTCTCTCTGTGCTGTGATGTGTAGGAGGGCCAGGTGGTCCGTATCTCTTTTTCCAACAAGTTCAAAGAGTTCAAGTCCACAGCTACTTGGCTTCAGTTCCCTTTCCTGTGTGGAGCTGCAAAGGATTCAGTCTATGAAAGCACAGCCAAATCTGCAAGACATGGTAAAATATATGTTCACATAATGGAATCATACCTATAAAGATATGAGCCATTGTTCATAAGCATTTGTTTTGATAGGTTGCTGTTGTTTTGTATATAATGTCTTACATATCTTACTGCAGTACTTTATCTTTATGTGCTCCAGGTTTGGTGGGTCCAGCCCCCACTTCAGTGCGTTGGACCTGTCTGATGCTGGACCTGCAGTACACACTCTCTGTCTACCTCAACCGCTGCTACAGTCAAATAAAGAGCATTAAACTTTGTGCCAACATGGCTGTGAAAAACTTGTTTACCAGTGACCTGCTGCTAGATCCAGGTGAGATCTAGATATCTAGAGATAGATATTATATATGCACATTTTGTTTTTATATGTGAATATCACCCCTGGTTTTCACAGAGTTTGAGGTGACATTAGGATAATAAAGAAATGCCATGTACTCGTCTTGTTTTCTTCTTCAAAGGGCATGTTGATATAGAAAGATTGTCCAAAGTACTTTTCACTGAAAAAATATAATTCATTAAACCCACTTCATATGCAAAGCACTCAATGGAAAGATCAAAACTCTTACACTAAATGATACTAAATGTATCATTTAGTGTAAGACCGCATCCTCAGATTTCTGAATTAATTGCATAGTGTCCTCTAAGTGCATGCATGATGTCTTTACCTCCCTTACTAACTCGTGCAATTGTCTCTTTGAACAGGAATTTCTTTCAGTGAAGCCAAGTTGATGGGTCTGGCTTCTTCTCAGGGAACAGGTCCCATGCCCAGAGAAATGTCGTTTCCTGTGCCCAAGGGTGGTTCCTGGCATGACCTTTATGATTATATAAGGTTCGGTAACTGCCAAATGCTAAATCTACCCTGAACTAGTTTTTGTCATTTCTGGGGCCGTAATGTTTGGTAGTGTTTTATTGTTTGTATCCTCATTTGGGTGACTAGTGAGAACTTCATGTAACAGCACCATTGATGGTTGTTTCAGTGCACCTTTACCAGAGAGTCAGAGATTTATTTTTTCTTTTCATATAACAGAGAGACTATCAGTAGTGATCTATGACTATCAGAGTTATTTGCTTAAAACACCAGAGGGCTGTACCACAAAGTGAAATTAATGGCTTAGTGAGGTATATGTTGAGCTTATTTGAACTTGTTTGGAGTGTTTTCTGGTCATTTGCCCAAGGTGGCTCTAAAAGAAGACACCTGTAAAACCACAGGTAGCATTACATTAATAGTTCACTATATTATCAATCAATATTACTTTATTTGATTATGAAATGTGGTATCAGTCCTTCATTTCTCTCTTGTCTTTTATGCAGCAACAGTGTTGATTTTTACTGTAATAATTTCTTAATATTCTTCATAGGCAGAAGCAGGCGGCATTCGATCTGTCCATTTTGTGCAGTAGAGGAGTCAAATGACCTGTTGAACGGCCTCTTTTATGGGACAGTACACAGACTTCTAGGCAGAAAACCTGGGTTAACATAGAGGGTTGATACATTCGTGTGGTGTCTGTTATGACTCAGGTTCTAGGCTTTGTCAAGCCAACTAAGGCGAGAAAAGCCTGACTGTTGAACATGCTTTCTGGTACGCCCCTGAGTTGTATAGAATAAGATCTGCAGGCTATTATGCTATTAATTTAAAAAGCTACAGTTACCTGCTTTTGTCACAGTGCACTGCGATGCAGGTCCTCATCTTGTCCTACTCTAACAGGTTTCC